CAAAATGCACTCTGGCAGAATAAGTCCAACAAATGAACGAGAAAATGCTGTAAGAAATTGGAAATAAACCCCGAAGGGTCTCCCTACTTTACTTCATTCTTACAATAATGAAAACTCTCCCTCAATACTTGAATTTATATTATGCATAGAATTGTTTTTACTGCAGCCATTTACTGGAAAGGAAATTATCTTTATCCTACCGCAGTCTGGAATTTTAAATTGATGAAATAATTTGTAAATTCCCAGAAATCCCCAAGTGTGATATACGGTAATTTAGCAGTTACTAGAGACCAAGGGGACATTATTCACTTTACTGTGGCTATTTAGAGTAAAACCTCAGCAAACATATCATGTCATTTGTTTTTAGATCATCATAAAACAAAATTGATGTTAGTCTGGCTCATAGGCACTTAGATTGGCTTTGCAGATTATCGGCTGACTCATACTCACCAAAGTCATCCATTTTATAACAGAGGCTTGATTAGCAATACAAGAACATAAAGAACTTGCCAGCAAAAGAATCCACAGGCAATGTGCTACATGTTGCAGATCTCCACAAATCTCCTAATTCTTTTTATCCCTTTCCTTAACAATAATCTAAGTATATTAAAATGAGTCATCTTGATCCCTTTGGTAAACCTCAAGGGTAAAAAAAGATTATTGTTGGTTTCACATGGAGAACTATCATGAAATTTTATGTTAATTATAAATGAAACACAGAGATGTGGGAAAAGTATAGAATGACAGAATCCAAATTGACAAAAGGACATTTAACTGCACAGTAAAGACAAGTTTTCAGATAGGGAATCATGTACTAGAGAGAATCATATACTAAAATAGTATCTTTGGTACAAAACTCCTCTTTCTCTCTTTCTATATATATACAAATACACATATGCATATACATATACATACAGACACACTACATATATGCACATACACACACATGCATATATATATATTTTTAGAGAATAGTTTTTTCCTCCTAAATCTCCTGATTGTATACTATTCTAAAGGGAGTACATTGCAGATAATTCTGAAAAATTAATATAGAAAAGTAATTTTGGGAAAGTCTGAAGTTCTTTCCCCTCTTCTAATAAGGAAGATATTCACAAAAACATATTTACTGACCACCTAAACTTTTGCTGTAAGAATTCAAAGTTATAAAAAATTTCTAACCCCAAGGAAAATGCTATCTCCACACAATTCATCATTTTGACTATAAATTCATTTTTAGGTACAATTAGTTGCTCCAGTATACAATGCTTTCCAAAATGCAAGAAAGAATGCTCACAGGAGAGGTCAGTATAGCAGGCTATATATTCAAGGGTAGAGAGTTAGTTAACTACATCTCACATTAAAGGTCTTGGACCACCTACTTCATTATCACCTAACAGTAGGTTAAAATGCAGACTAATGGGTCCAATCCAAGACTTAATTAATCAGAATCTCTGGGGGAAAAAAATCTTCATTTTTAACACACACCTCATGTAATTCTGGCATGCACTAAAATTTGTGAGTCACTCCTACCTTTTGCCTTTAGGAACCAAGGAGTATCTCTCATTGAATTTGGGGACTAAGTTATCAATCTAATGTCTGCTAAGGATTCCTTCTGCTGTCACCCTGGAGCAAGGAGCTGGAGGTAGTGGAGGTGAGGCTGAAAGAGACCAAAACAATATTTTAAAGAGAGAAAGAATTTACTTTGAAATAAAAACTCCAAACTCATATATAAGAATACAGATTTTTATTGTATTAAAGCGAATATACAAATCCTACTAAAAAGAATCATTTTATAAAAGAATGCTACAGGTACTGATAGAAGAAATACAACCAGAATGTTCCTTAGAAGCGAGAATGGAGAGACTTTGACTCGCTTACTTTGGACACATCATCAGGAAAGATCAATTACTAAAAAAGGTGATCATATTTGGTAAAGTAGAGGGTTGGCGAAAACTAAGGAAACTCTCAGTGAGATGGACTGACACAATAGCTAAAACAGTGGACTCAAATATACGATCACGAGGATGGCGTAGGACCTGGGAATGTTTCATTCTGACATACATAAGGTTGCCATGAGTCAGAGTCAACTTGACGGCAATTATCAACAACAACTATAGTTTGAATTGCTTTCACATGAGAATATGAATTTATAACCATGTTTGACATTTTAATTCAAGCTAAAGTGGGTTAAAAATCAACAACAATAACAACAAAAAATGGTCAAGTTCTCTGCTTCTCTGGAAAAGAAGTTCTTAGCTATTTTTTCCCAGGCTTATTTAATTAAAATCTTACAACACTAATTTGATTCAAAAAAAAAAAAAAAAGTGAGAGAAGTATTTTTTCCCATAACATTCCACCAAGTTCCTTTTTCTCCTCTTGCAATTTCTGAGCACTGAGAAACCACCCATATACTCAAGAGGTGGCATGATGATATATCTAAATAGCATTATAGATGTAAGCAATATCCTACATCATGAATAAGATGGAAAGTACATATTAATTTCCATATGGAAAGATAAAAATGGCTAATCATTTCACTTGAGTTAGAAATCATTGTTTCTTGTTATTCTTATGGCAACCCAGCATTTCATTTAATCCCATAAGGCATTTCAGAGCACTAATTTACTCAGTCGGCATTAATCATCATAATGTCAACCTGTGACACCCGATAAAACCCCAAACTAAAACAATAGTGTTAATAATCATCACCACCAAAAAAAAAAAGGAAAAGAAAAAAAAAAAACCCTCTCAATTTCTCCAGTGCTAAAAATTCTCTATTAACCATTACCCTCGGTGCTCAAGATTTAATGCTTATTTCAAAACAATTTAAACCAAACACATCCTTGCTTACAAATATATCTCAATAGGGTATATAATCAGAGGCACGTTCAAGGTGTTACTATACCTCTCCTCTCACTACCCGTCCATCTTCCTCTCACTTAATTTCAACCTAAAACCCAGAATTACAGTTAAGAAAATCGACAAAGCTGCTGAAGAAATTGGTGCTTTTAAGAATTTTTCACAAAACCAGCTACTTCCAAATAAACTTTATTCTGAAAAGAACACCATAACATATTCATATAAATGTAAATATGACACATTTAGCAATATTCATGAGTCAACTTATATACATGTGGATATCATAGTTCATTTCTGATTATTCCCTCTAACAGAAAGGTACAAAGGTGCAGCAAAACCAAAATGGCAGATAATTTAAAAACAACCATAAGCCATTTATTTGTTTTCATTTCATACTTATATCTAAATATTAAATATGAGAATTGGTAAAAATTCATAAGACAAAGAAACATGCTGCCTGAATAATCAGACTTCTTTCTGCTTTACTTTCTCTAGTATGCATAGCATCATCAGTAATGTCCATACAAACTAGCGCCATGGGACAAGCTGCTTTCCTTCCTCCCACGAGACAGTAAAAAGGCTTTCTGTATTGTGGCTCATAACTCCTCCAAGTCCAGGAAAATATCATTGATAACATACGACTTTTCAAGTAGAGTTGATTTTGTCAGGGAAAGGTGTGATAGTATATTTTTCCCGAGAACTTTATAATTTAGCAAGGAATATATCAATATACAATCTGTGAAAGTAGTCTATATGTGATGCAATAATTGTTTGTAATTCTTTAAAAAGAAAACAAAAAAACCTGTAGGTAAATAGGAATGAAAGGAATAAGGCACACACCTAGAACCTCTCTCACCACACAGGGTTTATGAAGCAATTGGTGCTAACCCCAAGATTATTGTATGAAACCAGAGTCATTCCTGCATAATGAGAATTCTAAAGTGCGAGAGACACAGCAAACCGTCTGCATGGGATAAAGACCTAAAGACAAACAACAGATCTGGCTGCTTGAAGAACAAATGGAAGAGAAAATTAGGCCCAAAGAATTCCAAAAGAATTTTCACTTTTTCAATAGTAGAGGGCAATAGAAAGGCATTGAACTTGGGGACTAAAGACTGGTTCTTTTGGTTAGCTGCTGATCAGGGGAAGAACAATCAGTCTCTTTGAATGTCTATTTCTTCGTCTGTAAAATTGGTACATACTTACTTCAAAGACTTTAGAGCAATAAGAAAGACAACAATGCACTTGATACCACTTTGTAAACTATAAAGAACTTTTCTTACTAAATGGAGCTTTGGTCATGTTTTAAAAGTATGAAGGATAAAAACCAATTTAAGATAAAATTATAAAATCATAAATTTTTTACCCACATTATCTCTCTATTTAATAGTAACTGGTATAGGTTGGCCTCCTTTTTTTGATGAGACAGAAATGGGAAAATGTCTATGGCAAGATCTCCACTTAGCTTTACCTTGTCAGTACAGACACAGTTCTAGAAAACTGAACAGCTAGGAGCCTAGAAACCTCAGCTCCTTTGTTTTCATAATGGCAATTTTGCCCTAAAATACTTGCCTCAGCATGTTCATTTTGTCAGTGTGAACAGAGTTATTATATATTCTCTTATAATATAATGCTATTGTAGCATAACACACTGGTTATAGATTTTATTCATCAAAGAGCCAAGAAATCTACTAGCCTTGAACACAGTGAATAAATAAAACGCTCTACCTTGTCTAGAATATTTTGACACATTTTATTACAAAGAAACAAACACGTCAATAATTTGTCCTATTTATCAGGATAAGTCATTAGTCACTAGGAACTGAACTTTATCAAGCCATTTAAGTCTCAGGCAGAATGTTTGAATGCATACATATTTACAAGTTACTACCTTTGTTACCCACGTCAGCATTGCACATCTCCTCAGTAAAGCAGTAGCTGTTAACAAGTAAAGTCCAACAATCATTTTCCTCAAGCAGAGACTTAAAGGGAGTTAAAGACAAACTATCTCCTCATAAAATGAAAATAGTAAGCCTTCGGCTACTGCAAAAGGCTTTTCAAATACATCAGTATCTGGAGAAAACGGAGAGAAGGAGAAATACAGGGTGTTGACCTAGTCTTATGTTATGGCATGTTCCAAGTTGCAATATTTTAAAATTACAAGCAAACAAGTAAAACATAAGGCTTCATACATGAAAGTGGAAAATGGTCCAGAAGTCTTCCATTCAAAGACAAATTAATTTTTTCTTCCCAATAATCACCAGAAAGAAATGGGCACTTAAGAACCTGAAGAGGTTCTTTAAATAATATTTAGAAAAATATATAAAAATAAAAAACAGCAAGAACAGAACACTGTTAAAAAATTGTAAAAAATAAGACTTTCTTTGAAGATGGTCGCCCTCTTGATGCTGTATAAAATGAGCAAATGCATATCTATAACTCATCATGTTTATATATAAATTCTCTAGCAGATATAAATCCATCTTTGTCTTCATCTTCTTTATCAAAAATATCTTCCACCAAAACATCATGATGACTTTCATTCACCACCGCACCATGCTTTTCAAACTCCTTCTTTAAATATACTTTAACCTATAAAATAATGAATTTCATTAATAATTCTGATTTATAAAATACCCTCATTGAGCCAATCAATATCACAGACATAGGAACTAGTAATTAAATATATGTAGTTTAAATATATATATTTAACTATGTTTATACATATTTAAATGACTACTAAACAACCACTTTGTTTTTAATGACAGTAAAAGAATTTTAAGAAATTTTTTTCCCTTGAAAACTGTTGCTATACTGCTACAGTAGAGACACAGAATATTGCTCAGAGGCAAACATAAGGCTTGTATCATGTATATAATCCTTATATGAAATATAAGGCTTATATCACCTAAAAAAACACCTAATGAAAGCATACTACCTGTTCTCAATGTAAGTCTAAATAAAGTCAAGTATTTGAAAGATGGCAAAATCCAGCGAATTATCCAGACCTTTTTTTTCTACCAAGCATCAGTATTCCATATATTTCTCTTAAAAACAGATTAAGTGATTGCATTTTTGACTTGGGTAAGTGTCTGTGGGCCTGACCATGATCACGCCACACTGATTAAGCCTGATAGCATGCGATCTCAGAAATTAAAGCAAAGTCCAGTTTGATGAATGCTTACCCTAAAACTTCCTATTTTCATTCAGATGTTTAAAAGCAAAAATAAAATACTGCTGCCAATTACCCACTAGATTTACCCCAATGCAATTCAACCTATATTTTCATTTTTAATCATATTCTCACTCCACCTTCTGTTACACCAGCAATGTCAAACCTTCTTTACACACCCACCTCTCAACATGCTTGGCTGCTAACTAAAAGGTCCGCAGTTCAAATCCAGCAGCTGCTCCTTGGAAACCCTATGGGGCAGTTCTACTCTGTCTGATAGGGTCGGTATGAGTTGGAATTGACTCGATGGCAATTGGTTTGTTCCCAACATGCAATCATATAGCATATACTTATTTTTAAGATCAAAGCAAGTTAATATAATTTTTTTTTTTTTAAAAAAAGGATAGTGAGGTTCTGTATGGATTGCTGTATAAATATACATCCAGGATATATCACTGTGTGAACAAAGCCAAGATGCCAAACAGTATTTCTGTGTTTGAATAGTATGTGTTAAGGTTGCTATGAGTCAGAATTGACTCAACGGCAATGGGTTTGGTGACCTTTTGTGTAAGAAAGGGGAGAAATAAGAATCTATATTCATGTTTGCTTGAATTTGCATAAACACTGGAAGGATACATTAGAAACTAATAAAATAGGATACGTGAGGGTTTTTTGGGAGGGGGCAACAAGGTAGAAGAAGACATGGGTGGGAGAAAGACTTCTTAATAAATAAGACTTTTTATATTGTATTTTTGAACCATGTGAATGCATTTCATATGCTAAGATTTTTAATTAAAGAGAATTAAAATTTATCTTGGATAGGAAAAAGATCCTATGACTGGTAAAACTGAGATGTTACAAATTTAGTGGCTGTGAATTGTGACCCCACAGTTTCTAACAATTTAGCTTATTCAAGACTTAATCATTTCCTGGCCATTAGAATTAAACTAAGGAGCCCTGGTAAGCACTCAAACTCTCATGCAGCTCCTTGGGAGAAAAGACCTGGAGATCTGCTCATGTAAAAATTACTGTATTTTTACACAGATAACGTGTACCTTCTATGTTTGTTTGCCAACTGAGCCCTCCCCCTGCAAGGTATTTTCATAAGCGCATGCCAATTTTTTTTCACATGTTGTTGTAAAAAAAAAAAAAATTAGCACAGCGTGCTTACGAAAATACCTGGCGGGGGGGGGGGTGCAGTTAGCAAATAAATGTAGAGGGCATACGTGTTATTTGCATAAAATACTGTACAGCCTAGGAAACCCTATAGGGCAGTTCTACTCTGTCCTAGAGGGTTGCTATGAGTCAGAATCAACTCAATGGCACACAATAACAGAATTAAACTAATCAAGCATAAATGGGGACTCCTTTAACTGATACAATTTACCAAAACATTAAATCATAAAAGATCTATTTTGAAATACAAAAATACCTTTCAGGAAGTTTCCTGTGTCCTATTAGAATAATAACTATACTGATTAGAGTCTGCACTTGAGGAAAATACAATTTTAATAGGTTTTCAATAGAAAAGATATTCACATCTCTCCTTCTAAGAGAGGAAGGGGAGATTGGAGGAGGAGAATTCTTCCTATATTCTTTAGAACACCGTCTCCAAAGTGGGATATTAGTACCCCAGGGGATGAGAATGTTGATCTATTGTGAGGCGAAAAGGAAATAATAGAACTTTAATTTGTATTGATTTTCTTCTTATTTAAAATTTTCTACTTTTGTTGATTTTTATTAATGTAAATAACACTAGTATGCAAGTATATTTTTTTATAAATTATACACATATTTACTAACGATGGTGTAAAATAATCACTAAAGTTTAGAGCCAACTGCTACATATAACATACAATTTAAAATTAGGGCAGGCTGACAGTTTATCTTATTTTTTTATACCAAAAAATTATATGTCACTTGATGAAATATAGTTAGCAGGTCCAAAAGAAACAACTATCTTAAACAAAACCTTGCCATGGTTAGGATGACACTCCCCAGACTCCATGCTACAATAACCTGTTTATGCATCATTCCTTCTCTGACCACTCAGTTTAATCACTCACCTTCTCCTCTCTATTATTGATAAACTCTGTAAGTGCTTCCATTATGACGGGTACCAATCCGTGCTCTATAGGATACTTAATTGTTTTGTTTCTATCTCCTTTTCTGATTTAATAACTCCTCAGTGGAAGGTGCTGTTCTTATTCCTCAGCCTTGAGGGTCATTCTCCCTATGTTCCCAACAGCGTGTAGAAAATCACAGGCACCCCAACATCCCTGAAAGGTCTGGAAAGCCCTTCACTTCACTGTAACTCTACCTCTAAACCACAGAGGGGGAGTGTTTTGTTTTGTTTCGAAGGAGAAGAGAGGACACTTAGTATATATAGTCCATTCTCTGCCGGTGAGTCCTTAGGTGCTACAAAGGGTTAAAGTGCTCAGCTGGTAACTGAAAGGTTGAAGCTTCAAGCCCACCCAGAGACGCCTTGGAATAAAGAAAGGCCTGGAGATATACTTCCAAAAAATCAGCCATTGAAACCCCTATGGAGCACAGTTCTACTCTGACACACATGGGGTTGCCGTGAGTCGGAATCAACTCCACAGCAATTGCGTTTTTTTATTCTACTCCAGCGATTCTCAAAGCATGGTCTCCTGACCAGCAGCATCAGCATTACCTGGGAACATGTTCCCAAAACAAACAAACAAACAAAAAAATACAGTTGCCGTCAAGCTGATTCTGACTCATAGTGACCCTATAGGACAAAGTAGAACAGCCTCACAGGGTTTCCAAGGAGCAGCTGGTGGATTTGAACTGCCGACCTTTTGGTCAGCAGCCAAGCTCTTAACCACTGCACCACTAGGGCTCCATAAAAGGCATCTGCCTTTCCACTGGGGAATTGAACCCTGGTCTCCCAGGTGACAGGTGGGGATACTTACCACTATACTAAGGAGGACAGTGGGAATACATTAGAAACACAAGTTCTTGGACTTCAACCCAGACCTACCAAATCAGAAACTCTGGTGGCAAAATGGGGGATGGGATGGGGGTGGGGTGGAGGGAGGAGCCTGGTAGTCCGTATTTTAATACGTGATTCTGAGGCACACTTAAGTCTGTATTCCTCTGTGGACTATGCCAGGAAGTAGCAATGCTTGTGAAGCAGTGAAGCAGCTTTGTGATCAAGGGTCTTGATTTGTGACCAGCCAGGACAGAATGGAGTGCGTGGGTAAGAAAAAACAGGGACAAATATCTACCTCACTTCTTTCGCCATAGCAGTCAACTACACAGGTATGTGTAGCAATGGCTGTGGAAGCCTAAACTGTAGGGAGAAACCATTTCTTCCTTTTTCTTTACTCAAACCCCAGCACTTTGAGGGGACTAGGAAAGGTCTTCTGCTATCAAAAATCCAGGCTGGAGTCTCCTTTCCCCATGTATCAACCTGAACCAAACTGAACATGTGAGTTGATTTCTGTCAATTGCTAGGAAGTCACTAAGACATGCATCTAACAGCCAGTCTAGAGTTTCAATCAGAAACTGTCCATGTGAGACACTTTTCAGGACATCTATGTTCCTTGTACACTAACTCCAAAATAGGAATTGTCTTGGCAAAGTGGATCTTTGAAAAACTCAGGACAAGGGCAAGATATAGTGATCCCTAAGCATTAGGAAAAGAGCCCTGTTGGCACAATGGTTAAGCACTCGGCTGCTAACTGAAAGGTTGGCGATTCAAACTTACCCAGTGGCTCCATGGGAGAAAGACCTGGCAATCTGCTCCATAAACATTACAGCCTAGAAAACCCTATGGGGCAGTTCTGTTCTGCCACATGGAGTCACTGTGAGTCAAAAATTGACTTGATGTGACCTAACAACAACAAGCATTGGGAAGAAAGAAAAAAAATCAAAAGGCTAATTTTTTTAAATCTACAAAACAATGATTTCCTATGAAAACATCAACCTTCAACGTATCAGTATTTTAAGAAAACTTATAAATAGCATTTTACCTAAATAAAAATAAATTTTCTCTAAAAATATATTTCTAAAAAATAAGCTACCAAGAAAAGAGGAGGAGGAAGAAGGGAAGGTCACCTCATCTTTAGAGAGTTTCCAGTCATCATTAAGATCCATTTCTTGGAATGATTCATGGGATCTTGGTCCATTTCGAATCTCCAGGAGATCAATGTTGAATATCAACGTACTTTCTGGGGGAATTTTACCTGACACGAGGAGAGGGGAGGAAAGTTATATTAAAAAGAGCCAAAAGTTTTAATGACTATGAAACTTAACAATACTGGACAGTGTTCTTTTAATTGTATCAAATGAAGAGCCTTCCCAAGATTGTCACATATATGGAAATTATTTGTACTATAATTGTATTTTACTCAAATAAATGGAGGTTCAAGTCCACCCAGAGGCACCTGAGAAGAAACACTTGTCAATCTACTTCTGAAAACTCAGCTGTTGAAAGCCCTGTGGAGCACATTTCTATTCTGACACACATGGGGTTGCCATGAGTCAGAATTCCTAGAAGAAGGAATAATGTAGTCTAGTAAATAAAAAACAGTCTATTTTTGGCTTTGCAATTAAAAAAATATATAGACACAGATGTGCCTAATAGCCTAGGTATTAAATTTCAAATATAATTAAGATATTCCAAAACAAAACCTGTTGCTGTCAAGTCAATTCCAACTCATATCGACCCTATAGGACAATGTAGAATTGCCCCTGTAGGGTTTCCAAAGCTGTAAATCTTTACAGAAGCAGATTGCCACATCTTTCTCCCTTAGAGTGGGTGGTGGGTTCCAGTCACTGACTTTTCGGTTAGTAGCCAGGCACTTAACCACTGTGTCACCAGGGCTCTTTAATTAAGATATTACCTGTTAACAATTTCCAGTTCTCATGGAATTCAAACTTTCTGGATGACCCTCGAGGCTATTACCCTGAGGAAATCTCTAAACTTTGAACCGAAACTATCTCCTGAAGTCATCTTTGAACCAAATAATAGTTTAGCCTAATTAGGAAAGAATGTCTGTCTAGGTCAATTGGCATAACAAACTTGATTAAGAAAATGTTCTGCATCCCATTTTGGTAAGTGGCATCTGGGGTCTTAAAAGCTAGCAAGTGGCCATCTAATATGCATCAATTGGTCCCA